GTTACCATTCTATTATGTCATGTCACGTTCGGTACTGCAGAATTATATACGTAGTGCCATTGCTGAAGCCACCTATTTATTTTCTTATTTTTTACTTGGCGCCTGTCTCGGTTATTTATTCGAAAATAAACAACAAGGCACGTGTGATATTCAAGTTTTGCCTACAATCTACTTTCTCATTACATTGGCTTTCGGTATTTTGACATGTATATCTAGTCAACGTCTATTTGGTATCGAGATAACTGATCGAACTTACGAACGAGAAAGTCGAAGTTATTTTCATCCGCTTCAATATTGGCTTGCAAAGAGTTTGGTTGATACTTTTCGATTGATCTTATATCCACTACTCTTTCTAAGTATGCTCTATATTGAAATTGTTCCACGCGGCCCGTTTTCGTACTACCTCAGCGTGATGATACTTCTTTCATTTGTTTGCTCAGGCATTGGCCAATTAACTTCAGTGATTTTCAGTCGCACTGAATTCGCTTATCTTGCCGGTACCATTATTGCTCTCCTATCCTGTCTCTTGTCAGGCTTTAGTCCAACCAAGAGTGAGCTTGGTCATGGAAGTTTTATCGTAACTCTTTCTTTTTCACGGCATATACAACATTTACTATTTCGTCACGAAACGACACAGTACCTCAAAGGAGGTACTAATAGCACGGAATTTTTTTCACATCAAATACAAGATTTACTATTTCGTCATGAAGCGACATTTTACGCTAGCAAAGCTCCTAATAGCACGCAACATTTATGGTCAACTTCGGTTGATGGTTTTCGAACTTATTATTCGTTTAGCGACAGTGAAAATCCATATTTTTGGCTTATCTTCATGGGATTAATTTTTCGTGCACTCACCTTTTTATTTCTCTATGGTAAATCAGAATATAGGTCACAAGCTCGCTACAGTATGACACATATTCGACGCACGTTAAAGTGTTTATTCAGTTGCGAGCCGTGTCGCAAAAACTATTCTCAATAAGTTGAGTAACAGATGTGACATAACAAGAAAAAAATGCGACTTCTAGACTTTCGTATACTAATTATCATATATTTATCTTGTCATTTTATGCTTTTCTCCTCCTACCACTGTCTCTTTCCCAACACTTCTATATATTAATGATTATTCTTATTTATTTCGAGTATTTCGATTATCTAATTATGCTGTGCAGTTTCTATATATACTGTTTTCTTTATATTCTGAAACGAAATAAAGGTTCAGTCTTAATTATATACAAGTCTGCTCAGTAAATTAAACATTTATTCAATATTAATACTACAGTATCACTAACTAAGAATGTGGGTGTAGGTATAGATGTACCGATTCCGGTTCCGGCCTCGGTTCTAAAATCGGAACTGCTATCGGTTAGAATCGAAACCGGTACATCCCTATATTAGTTCGAAAAAGCATTTGAACTTTTGAAAAAGAATTGCAGAGAGTCAATCATTCAATCCAATTCCACCTATTTAAAAGCTTTTATCCATTTGTTTTCTCGATCTCGAATTTTATATTTCTAGTTTCGCATTAGAAAAGTTTCACTGATTCCTAATTTTTGATATTGTAGATATTATTTCTCACTCTATTTTCTAGTTTTTCGTATCGCTATATAATCATGTAGCAGTTTTTTTTTCATTTCCAACTAACACACTTGAATCGTTAGTTTTTTTTTTCGAGGACACATGAAAAATCAATCAAACTATACCTAAACGTATTATCCATGTGGTTCACATTTTTTTTAAATACAACTGTATATATAGATAATTTAGTTCTAGATGTTCATTTGAAAACAAAATTTGACATAAAAAAAGAAGAAAAAATTTTAAAACTATTACCACTTACAACAAGAAAGAATAACAAAATGCTTTCTAAATAGCTTCCTTGAAGATTCGGTCCTTTTAATCATGACCCAATCAACTGTAGAAAATTCTGGTTCTTCATTTGATGTAGTAGGACCATGTTGATTTTAATGCCGACTTCTTGAGGAAAACATGAAATATTAACTGAAATCGTATTCTTCTTTAGTATAAAAAATTAATAAGATGACTTTCTTTTCAGCAGGGTGTTACAGAGTTAAAAATATGTACCTTACCCTACTGGTATTTTTCTATGTGACACTCTGTTCTGTCCTGTGGACATCTCTGTTATATTCAGAAATGGATTATGATAAATCAATACTTCTTTAATAAATATTTGGTAATGCTGATGCATTATTTGTTATACCATTCATAGATAAAATTTGAGAATAATGAGAGAAAATAATTGTTTTTGTTATGAATGACAAAAGTCAATGTAAATTAGAGTTTCAAACTATTAAATTTTGATTTTAGTTATTTAACTTTCACTTTTGCATTCAAATTCATACTACATAGTAGTTTATTTTCCGCAATCAAACTCCTCTTCAATCTGAAAAAATATAATAGATTCTTGATCCCACCAGTGAGAACTACAATATTACAATGGATGAATTTCAAGTACAAGCTAATCCGAATTATGAAAGCATCCAACAAATAAACTCCAAACATCTGAAACCTAAAAAGATGATGGTTATTTACTTGTGCTAACAGTTAAACTTGAGGATGATTATAAAAGATATGGTCTGAAGTACAAATCGAATAGATGGGACCTCCTATTCCACGTGTTTATGACTTTTGCCAGACTATTCATATCATCTTTTAAATGTTCTAAAAAGTGAAGTCTGACCTCTGAAAACATAACATTGTTTGTCAGGAACAACTCTTGCTTGAATATATATTAGTTCAGATTTGAGTAAAATTCTTTTTTTTTAACACACTAACTAAAAAATGCTAAAGTACTACAGAATTATATAGTTCTGTCTAGACTATCGTTGTGAACAATAGGTATCAAAGTTATTCAACTATTAGTAAATAATTTTATCTTAAAATCATCTGCTTTTCATCAGATTACAATCTATAGTCTTTAATATACTAAGCAAAAACTTTTAGAACAATCTATTGGTATGTTTAGTTTTTCTGAATCATACAATCACAACATGTCCTTTCTCAATTTTTCAAATGTATCTAACAATTTATTTTTGCTAACTTTTTCGCCTCTATTTTGCATTATAACTTTCTTTGTAACATATAATTCAATAGAACAACTTGTGATCGACATAATTTCATTGCTCAATGTGTATTATTAGCAAGAACATCACAGACTATATGCATCAAGAATTCTATTTGAATAGAAATTTCATGTTGAAAAATTATTTTACTCGTCTTTCATGTACACATCAACCATAGATAGATGTTTTTGTACTGTCTTATTTCTGCATTGAAGAAGTTAAAATTTGCTTTAACAGTATGGATTTGATTTCAAATATAAGAATTTCATACAGAAAAAGATTCGTAGTTTTCCTGTCCTGTCGAAATTATCATTTTGAAAAATTCACTGAAGATTCAAACATCTTTGTACTATCTTGAGACTTGAATCTCTCTAAAATAGTTTGAACGACTTTCTTGCGATACAGGGTGGGGTGTGGGTGTGGGTGTGGGTATGGGTGTGGGGTGTGGGTGTCGGTGTGGGTGGGTGTGGGTGTGGGTGGGGTGTGTGGGTTGGTGTGGATTTTCTCTTCAACAGAACCCATGCCCACACCCACACCCACACCCACGAAAATGGTCCTTCGTACCATGAAAATAGTCATGTATGCCATGACAATGGTCACTTGTACCACAAAAATGGTACTTTGTACCATCAAAATGGTCACTTATACCACGAAAATGGTCACTTGTACCATGAAATTTGTCTCTGGTACCACGGAAATGGTCATTCGTGCCTTGAAAATAGTCATGTATACCATGACAATGGTCACTTATACCACGAAAATGGTTATTTGTACCAAGTGTTACAGACAGACAGACAGACAGACGCTGGTGAATTTCGGTTTCTACAGGGTTGTGCATAACCTTTTGCTAGGGGGGTAGCGCCATTATTTCAAGTTGAATACCTAATGAAATTTATACCAAATTAAAGAGCGTCGAAAACTGGATTTCTTAGTACTAAATAGTAAGGGTTATCAAAATATGTTAATGTCGAACTTACGAAATTTTCGGAAATTTTATGCTTTTAGCATAAAAAATTAAGGCACCGGCAATTTTTTATAGGCAAGAAAAATACTCGGTTTTTTCAATAAAATTAGGTTTTTTCATTATTTTTACTAGCAAAGACGCTTCGAGATATACTCGTCAGACGCAGTTTTTCACGCTGCACCGGAGGAGTATATTTCGAAGTGTCTTTATCAATAAAAATAATGAAAAAAGCTAATTTCATTGAAAAAATCAAGTGTTTTTCTTCCATATAAAAAAAAACGAGTTTCTAGAGGTTTTTTAGGATTTTACAAGTAATTTTTTAAATTTTTTATCTGAAAAAAATGGCTTACAAAATTTCTGATATATACAATTTTGTAGAGCTCGACGAGCTCTATCGAACCATATAAAAATATCAAAAGAAAATATCTTACTCTATATTTGAATTGGTGGTGCCTTCATTTGCTATGGTAAAAAAAGCATAAAATTTCCGAAAATTTCGTAAGTTCCTCATTAAAATATTTTGAAAACTCTTACTATTTAGTACTAATAAATCCATTTTTCAACGCTCTTTAATTTGGTATAAAATTCATTAGGTATTCAACTTGAAATAATGGCGCTACCCCTCTAGCAAAAGGTTATGCACAACCCTATAGACCCTAGCGTTTCAGTCTAGGGAACATTACGCGGCATTCCATCGTAAGATGAGATATATGCGAAATAAAAAATGTTACAAAATGATTAAAATCTTGTTATAAAAACAAATGTCACTTTTTTTCTACTATAGTTTTCACATTTTAAACTGCATTTGATGTTCAAAGTAAATATACCAAAAGATCCAGCAAGTTCTGGGCTTTCTTCCTTTATATAGTAAGTTGATAATAGATAAAATTGTTTATTCTTAAAAAAAAACAAAAAAAAATTTAAGAGTAGAATTTCAATTGTCTTCGACTGTATTATGTTGAACATTGTCCATATCGATGACCGGAATAAAAACATGAATTACAAACATCTTTTCCACAACCTCCACAGCGGCCTGTTGCATCATTATCACAGAATAAACATTCAGGAACGCATCTTAATGTTGTATGCTGATAAGCTCGTGCTCCAGGACATGTCTGTGCATGTGAATGAAAATGTTGTTGACAATAACGGTAACGACAATGATCGCATCGACCGTACGATGTCATATGGCAATGAGAGCATTTCAAATGTACACTTGATCCGCTGCCCATGATCTGAATAAGAAAAACAATGAAAACGACGACAAATTTCGTTTGAAACTATGTTACTAAATCGTAAGATGGTGTGTCAATATTTGAATTCTTTTCAAACAGTCAGATAAAATACTGCATGTTTATGACTACTCAATGCCTATGAAATTCATCCAACCAATTATACATGAAGTGTATAATATACACGCTACCCATGTAAAGATAAAGAAAGAATAAGATTAAAATTAATTGCATTTCTAATGAAAATTGGATATACCTGGCCATAGTCGTTATAATCAATACAACAAATGGTTTCTAAAATCACTGAAGAACGCTACTTGCAATTATTTTTTTGTGTAACCTGAATCAATTAAAAATCAAACAACGCTTATTTGAAAATAAACAAAATTGCTTATGACCAATGTTTCTATTTCAGTGAATGGAACATATTGTCATTTGATAAGAAAGACGTTCAAAAAAGCGCATACATAATCGCCATTTTTCATTGTTATTCCAGTAATAGATGTAAAATTGCCGGCTAGTCAGTTGTGGGTGTGGATTTTCTCTTCAACAGAACCCACACCCACACCCGCACCCACACCCACACCCACACCCACACCCACACCCTCGAATCCTGAATCCAACCATTACATACAAGTCCAAATCCGAATCCAACTCCGAATCCCGAAGATTTGATGCCAAATACAAACCTATCTCAAGATTTGTTACATCCTTGCGTAGTACGCTGCTTTTAGTCTATGTATACTCAACACAACCACTCACCCATCAACTCACCCAACCAAAAACCGGCCATCAAGTAGCTTATTTACTATGAAGGTGAGATTTTTTCCTTCGGTCTTTTCTCCACCAGTGTCTGTGTAGTAAAAGAACTATTCGCTTATCACCTTGTATGTTCCTCTTTCTTTTTGACTTTCTTACTTCCTTGACATGGTGCTCTTGCTTGTTTATCTTTTGAAACGCTTAGTAATAAAACGATGAAGAAAAATTTCTAACTATCATCATAATCAAGAAGAAAGAATAAGATATGTTTGAATAGACATTAGTTCAGTTAGCCAAAAAATAGTTCTCTGACTTTTTGTGGATCAATGATGATTGAGTGTTTTTTTCCTTAAAAGTTTACATGAGCATCGATATTATTACTCTAGCATAGGTGTACATGAAATAGCTGTTTCATAGATAAGAATCATTTTTTTGACTAACTGAACCGATGTCTATTCAAACATATCTTATTCTATGTTCTTGACTGTAATGATACTCACAACTTCATTGTCATCGTTTTATTATTAATCATTTGTTTTAAAAACAAGAAAGTAGAAAAGGCAAGATGATAAGTGAATAGTTTCCGTATCACCAAAAGTGTTGTGAAACAGAGATAAGAACGAGCAACCGCTCTTGAAACTAAAATGCTTTTTTTGACGAGTATGGTGTAGCTCTAATTTTTATCACAGGGAAGACGATAAAGACGTGCCTAAGTTAAATTATCGTAAATTCGTAGAATACATGCACTGTTCTATAAGGTGTGGGTGTGGGTGTGGGTGGGGT